CAGTCAGGGAGGAAAAGGGGAGTTTCTATTCTAATACACAGACAGATTAATTTTATACCAACACTAATACATAAAGATAATCTGGGAAGATATATTTTGGTAAATGGGTCAATAGAAGGTATCAAAGTCTCTCTTATTAATGTATATGCACCGAACGAAGACGATCCTGGCTTTATCAGAACAATCTTCAATAATATACTACAGCATAGCTCTGGACTCTTAATGATGGGGGGGGGACTTCAACTGTGTTGGACAGACAACATGGACAGACAACCCTCATCAAAAGCTCCCCTCCCCAGAATGAGTAAAATGCTTAAACATCAATCTATTGAGCTAGGTTTGGTAGATATCTGGAGGAGCAGGAATCAGAGAAGCAGGGACTTTACATTCTACTCATGTAGACATGCATCGTACTCTAGGATTGATTTTTTTTTTACATCCAGATCAGAGCTGCATAGAGTAGAAGACATAGCGATAATGCCCATTACTATTTCTGACCACTCACCCATTGAACTTAAATGGAACATAGGCCCTATACCAATCTCTAAACAGTGGAGACTTAACACGTCCCTCCTTAATGATAAAGATTTTACCACTTTTATCAAATCAGAGCTTAATTACTATCTAGAAACTAATGACTCACCAGAAACATCACCTCTTATATTATGGGATTGTGCCAAAGCGTTTATCAGAGGTCGTATCATTTCGTACACGTGTGCTAATAAAAAGAAAAAGGATGCCAAACAACGGGAATTAGAGGATAAAATAAAGGGACTAGAAAAAGAGCATAAACGAACTGCCACACCGTGCCTTACTAAAACTCTTAATGCAACCCGTAGAGAACTTAACAGCTTACTAGCAGATAAGATTGAGGGGAACTTAAGGTTCACTAATCAGCGATATTATGAATATGGAGACTTGCGCATTCTGACAGCGATTTTAGCTAAACGGGTCAGTCAAATTATCACTCATATTATTCATCCTGATCAGACAGGTTTTATTACTGGGAGACACTATGGAGATAACATTAGAAGGCTGTTTAATATAATGTCATATCAGAGGGATAAGGAAAATGAAGCAATGATGTTATCACTGGATAAAAGGCCTTTGATCGGGTATCATGGCAATACCTGACTCAAACACTAAAACGATTAAAATTCGGCCCTAATTTCATTAATTGGATACACACACTTTATTCAGAACCACAAGCCGCTGTTAAGGTTAATGGGTTTAGATCAGACAGATTTACATTGGAACGTGGATGTAGGCAGGGGTGCCCTCTATCCCCCCTCCTGTTTGCCATTAGCATTGAGCCGTTAGCACAACTGGTAAGGGATGATATGAGCATAAAAGGAATTGAAATAAATGGTGAGGTGCATAAGTTGTCTCTCTATGCAGATGATTTATTACTGTATTTAACAGAACCGACAGCAACGATACCACATTTAAAGAAATTGATAACCCAATATGGATATTATTCAGGCTACAAAATTAACGTAGGAAAAACAGAAGCCATGGATATTAATGGTAGAATATCACTGAGTACAAAACTCCAGAGTGGTTATACATGGTCGAAAGACGGCTTTAAGTACCTTGGGATATATATCACCAAATCAGCACATAATCTATATGATGCCAATTATAAGAAATGTATTAAATGTATTGGTAGCGATATGGACCGATGGTCTACACTCCCCCTCTCTCTACTACTACTACTACTAATGTGTGGAGACAATACGTATTAATGTTTTGCCCAGGTTACTTTATTTATTTCAGATGCTACCTATTGAAGTCCCTAAATCGACTTTTGACACCTTGGATAAACTAATCTCCCAGTTCATATGGCAAAGGAAGCGCCCAAGAATTAGGCTTAAAACACAACAGCTATCTAAGCCAGATGGAGGTCTTAAACTTCCCCAATTTAAGACACTACTATGGGCTGCACAGATGAAACCCTTAGTAGCGTGGGTAACTGTACTTACACACGCTGGCTTAATATTGAGCAAAGTATGTGCCCAAAGCCTCTGCATATATTACCCTTTTTCAGATGCCCCCATAAAGGAAATGGGACAATGGACTGCAGCTACTTTAAAAATATGGAAAAAAATACAATCAGCATTTGGGTTACCCAAAAATATTTCACCGCTAACAAATATTGGTTATATGAGAACCTTTATGCCTAGTAATTTAGATGCAGGGTTTAAAAAATGGTCGGAACATGGCTTGACTTCATTATATCAGATACTGGATAAAGATAATCTTAGGACATTTGAACAGCTAAAAAATGATTTCAATATTCCTAAAACAGACTTTTTTAGATATTTGCAGCTCAGACATTTCCTTACCACCCACAAAGAATGGGAACAATTCAGAAAACCTACCCCAATAGAAAATTATCTGATACAATTAAAATTGGGAAATAAAGGACCGAAAATAGTTGGTAAATTATATGAAATATTCCTATTAATGAATCTGGATAGCTCGGTGAATATAAAGCAAAGATGGGAATTAGAAATGAACGTAGATATTACCCAGGATACCTGGGAGGACATATTCACCGAAGCAAACTTAGTGACAAACTCATATACATGGAGAGAATTTAAATGGAAAGTAGTTACCAGATATTTCCGAACACCAGATATATTGTCAAAAATGGGCCCAACACATAGTAACTTATGTTGGAGGAACTGTGGAACTGTGGGAAATTATACTCATATTTTGGTGGCTATACTGGGAGTCTTACCTGAGGGTCTCAGAAGAGAGGTCTAAGACTTATCTATTAAGAATTTTATTGACAGTGGCCCTGAAGTGCATCACCATTAAATGGTTGAAACCAGAACCTCCCACATATAACTGCTGGATTCAGAGAGTGTGGGATATCCACCACATGGAGCAAATCACATATTTATTACGCCTACAGAAAAATATATTTATCAAGCGATGGGCCCCTGTCATGCATCTACTAATACAATAAGAATTGTTAACACCTTTGTCACTTGTATTCTCTTTCCATCATTATTATTTTTGTTTATTTACGATTATTTGTCTTATTTTCCAAGGTAGGCCATCTTTTTTAGCCCTGGAGTGGCACTGTATAATCATAACGGAAAATGTGAATTTTACTGTAAAATATATTGTACTGTATTATTGTTTGAAACGGAGAAAAAAATTAAGTCCTAAAAAAAAAAAAAAAAATGACAGACTGCTTTCAGATTTTTCCGTCATTGTTAAAAAATATATTCAGTTAACGCGACCACTGCTGTCCCAGCAACATCAGTACCAAGCGAGAGAGTTTTTTCCACAGCAGGGGATATTGTAAACGCCCAAACATCACAGCTTCTACCTGGAAATGTGGACATGCTCATATTCCTAAAAAAAAAACCTGTCTGATGATGCTGAGTGAGTGAGTTAGAGTGAGTACTACTTGAAAAAACTAAAGTGAAACTTGATTTATTTTATTGAGGGGTCTGATTATTAAATGTCCTTATTTATTTGTGAGATGCAGTGGCACAAAGAAAATGGCCTACTTTGTTTGGTAGTACTAGTAGGTAAAAAAACACTGGTTGTTCTTGTTCCAGTCTGTTACTGTCACTTTGTTTTTGACACTTTAAATACTACAATCCAACTAAAATGCTGTACAAATCAGATTTATTATTTAATAAAGAACATTTTTTCAAGGTAAAAATAAATAAATGTCAAAATAAATGTTTCCCCCAAAAATGTAAAAAAAAAAAATCTTTATTTTTCAATATCGCCGATAAATACCGTACCGTGGACTTGTTATCGCGATATAAACGTACCGTGAGTTTTTGGTATTGTTACATCCTAGTGACACACACACACACACACACACACACACACACACACACACACACACACCACACACACACCACACACACACACACACACACACACACACACACACACACACACACACACACACACACACACACACACACACACACACACACACACACACACACACACACACACACACACACACACACACACACACACACACACACACACACACACACACACACACACACACACACACACACACACACACACACACCACACACACACACACACACACACACACACACACACACACACACACACACACCACACACACACACACACACACACACACACACACACACACACACACACACACACACACACACACACCTCTTATGGCGCATTTCCACTGCAGGGCCTCGCACGACTTAGTACGGTATAGTTAGGCCTTGGTAGGCCAGGCTCACTTTATGCTGTGTTTCCATTACAGTTTAGTAGCTGGGGCAGTAACTATAGTAACGCAGTGTAGGCGGAGCCGTGACGTCATCTTCAATGCGAACCACAAAACCAACATCAGCCGTTGAGCTCACAGCTCCTCATATCTGTTCAGAAACTAGACAAAAGTTAAACAAGTACAAACCACAGACTGCCTGTGTCATGGCGAATACAGTCGCTGCTTTATTTATGTCTGTATAGGCCGTTGTTGTGAGTGTGGACAGTCGGGGCATATACTGCGTTAGCTTAGCCGATCTCCATTTAGAAAACAAGCATTTTAAAAGGTTTTTTCCCCTGCCGTCTGTCTGCAGACTTGACAAAGCATTAATTCATGGTTTTTACTAACCGGTATCAGTATGTTTTTACTTCGGCATCATTTTGAAACGTGTATTACAATTAAATCACGGTCAAATATGTTCATCTTGTTGTAGTTGTAGCCCCCTTGCCAGCGATTCTCTCTGACCATTCAGCAGTCGAGAGTGTTTACGTCACTACTTTAGCATATTCAGCCCGGTTGTTGGCCCGGTAAGAACCTCGATTTTGGAGGGCCAGAAAAAAGGTGAAAAAGTAGCCCTGAGCCGGAACTACTCCTAGTGGAAAAGCAAAAAAAAAGCGGGCCGGGTTTGGCACGGCACGCTTAAACCGTACTACGCACAGTGGAAATGCACCATTAGTGTCAGAGGATCAACAAAAAACACACTCACCACAGGGCAGGGACCAGGCCAGAGCCATCAGCAGGTCCCCCAGGTAGTTAGGGTGGCGCACCACCCCCCACCACCCAGACACCAGCAGACTCCTCCCTGTAGCTGTGGGGATGGTCTTCAGATCTGCAGGGAGGCAGACACACAGAGGTTACCAGAGTGAATCAGATATGAACAAAGCACTGAGTGTTTTGGCATCAGCTGCAGGGAAACAGCAGAGCTTACGGGAAAGTTGGGGGTCTGATGGGTTTCTCCTGAAGGCGTTCTTCTCAGAGTTGGACTTTCTAAAGATGTAGAATCCAACAACTAAATGAAAGACACAGAACATTTTAATTTCAGTTTCGAAACCGGAAAGGAAATTAACACTGAGATGTTGAGATCATCTCTCTAGGACTTAACAGTTTTCTCTATCAAATGCCTGCGACATTTCTGATTGAGAAGCTATACAAAACCTCAGGACTAAAGGCAAAATGGTGAGTGAATTTAATTTGACACTTACGTTTAAGTGTGACAATGGCAGCGAGGGCAGGGGGGCTCAGCGGGGTGGGCCGGCTCACCAGGTAGTAAGCCTGCAGGGTGTAAGTGAAGGGCACCCACACCAGGTCTCCAAACGCCAACATGAAGCCAAAACCATCGTGCATTAGGTCCATGGTGGTCAGGATGGCCTCCTGGACACACACACAGACACACACACAGTTTAGAAGTTGTTAACATGACAATCTATGTAATTGTTTTCTTTCTTTGTTCATGTTGGAGTGACCATGTTTGTGTGCTGTGTGTCATACCTCGTTCCAGAGGCCGTCGGCCACGTAGAGCAGCTGGAAGAGGTTTACCAGGATCATGGCGTGAGAGGGAGCCTCCAGACCCTGCCGTTTCATCTCCGCCAGCGCCAGCGCAAAGTTGATCAGACACTGAACAATGACACACAAATCCAAAACAATAGGAATTTTTTTGGAGCATTCAGAAAGCTGTAACACCTGCCAACTCATTCAAGGGTTTAAAGACCAATGATGCTACATCAGAACAGCCCATGCATCTGGCTATGCAAATGCAATAACAACAAATAATCTTCCTACTTTGAGTGCTCATTGGGTGTATTTTAAGACAAATGTTTTTTTTTGGTTTTCCGTGAACTCACCCAGCCAATCAGACCAGGGCGCATCTCGCAGAAGAATTTTAGATCAAAGTATTTGATTCGTGGATTGAGCTCACGTCCTTTGAAAAAGTCGTAAGCCACATTTCCTGATGAAATAAAGAAAATAAATGAGACAGCTGAGCACAAAAGGAAAGAGTGAATAACAGCTGCATAAGGGAACTCACCAGAGCTGCCGCCCAGTGCCAGCTGCTCTGCAGCAGCGCGCCCAGAGCGGACGTACAGGTAGCTGCTGAGCAGGATGGAGATCAGGAAGGAGGCCACAGCCAGCTGCAGGAAGTGGCTGTGGATGTATGTGAGGTCAGCACCTTGCTGCACCGCTGCTGCTACTGCCACACAACTCACCACCATGGCAAAGAAACCTGCACGGACACACAGTTAGATACGGTTGGGCAAGAAAAATAAAAAAAACTTGAAATTCAAATAAAACAACAACCAAAGGGAGTGAGTGGTAGTGAAAACTCAATCCTTTTGTTTAACTGAGACTTAAGTGAAGTAAGACTTGGCTGGCAGTTGGAGGCTCACCATTGGTTCTGTACTTCAGCCTCTCCCCAGAGCGCAGCGGCATGCCCTCGCTCAGCTAGAGACACAAACACATTTTGTTAAGTGTAGTTGGAGTTAACACATGCATGCTAAAATATATGGAGCCACTGGATAATGTAGCTGGTCTGTGTTTATTGGAGGCTTCTGTCCTCATCGTACTGGGGTGATTTTAAAGGTGACCAGGAGTTCTATGAAACGACACACCTCAGCTTACTAGTTGTACTAATTGAACTGATAACTTAACACAAAATAGAAATGTCATTGTAAGTCTTATTATTATCTTGTGTGTAAGATATCAAGAGAGAGATGACACAGGATGCAAAGAACAGGAGCTCTGTGTTTCAGTGCAGCATCTGAGTCACTGTTACTCCTGACCATTCATTCAATTTCTGCCTCCTGCTGAAGCTAACTGCCAGGCGCAGTATGTGCGGCGCCACGTGTTTTTCCTGTACCAGTGAATACACAGAGGCTTGATAGAAAAACTGTAACCATGATGATCACCGCTTCGGAACGATACCAAGTTAATTCTCTCCATCAAACTATGCATGCATTTCTGAGTGTAGAGGTCTCTTTTCACTCACCTTTCCAACGGGTAAGATGTAGAGCAGGACCTGGAATAAGATCCAGAGAACGACAAATCCAAGAGCCTTAGCATCCCAAAAGCTTTCAAGGGGGGGCCAAGGAGGGGGGAAGTTGGCGAGGCTGGGGTCTTCCTGGTTGACTTTGAGTACCAGGAAGAGAACCCAGGCTGGCAGGAAGAGCAGCCAGAAGTAAGCACCTGTAGGACACACACACACACACAGCAGACAAGGTATTACATATACACATACTTTTTTAAATAGGCTGTGAGCACACAGGGGTTAGTATAAATGATACAGAGTGAGCAGATTGGTAGAATTCTCTGCAGTACAATGCTACTGTCCTCTAAAAAAAAGTTGTCAGTCTTTGCTTTAAAGATCATCCTCCAGGCTACTGGATGTAGTTTCCTTAACGTCCTATAACTACCTAGCTTCCCTCCAAAGTCAAGGGAAACGGAGGGGGGAGAAGCAGCTGCAGCCATCTTGGCCTCTTTTTCTTCCAGCTGCTCTGCTTTGGCCTCAGCTTTGCCATCTCCATCGTCCTTCCTGCGCCGTAGATTGTAACGGCTTTGGTTCTTCTCTGGCTCTGACTTCTGAAGAAACAATTCGGACATAACAATCAAATTCAAAAGTTGCACAAGATGTGGGCTAGCAATCTCAACAAAGTTCCTGCACACCATACAGGTTTGGTGACAGGTGCGGCGGTTTAAAATCTCTTGACTTAAAAAGGAAGCCAGGAGTCCTGTCCATCACATTTACACACTTTGACACGGTATTGCTCGTCAGACAAAAACACATACAGGTTGGGTGTATTTCTATAGGAGTTGAACCTGATAAATGTTTAGTGGGAACAAGATTTAAGGTAAAAAAACTACGTATGTTATGTTGATTGAAATATTCATGTTAAAATGATCAAAATAAATTCTTGTTCTCTTCAATTTAAAATCTAAAATCATAAACAAAGGATGATCTTGCAGTCGCTGCCCTCTACACCCCTTTCTGTCAAAGTCAATCTGTTGATGTAGTGAGGCTTTATTTTTTCTTTAGCGGCACTATGACTGAGCTCCTGTTTGTCCTCAGAACGCTTCTTACAGAGGGTATCTAGGATTAAACATCGGGGCAAACAGACAACAATGACTTTAGAGCAGGCATGGGCAAACTAAAGCCATATACGGCTCGTTGGGCTTTTTAATCCGGCCCGCCGAATATTGGTACAAAATTGTCCAAATTATAGTAAAGACTGCATTCATTTTGCCTTTTTCCTGCAATACCCGGCATTTCAGTTGATCCCACTAGATGGCGCACTCGAGACACAAATTACCTTTGCTGGAGTCGGCAAGATCTAAGAACCAAATACGTCACGCTTACATTGGAGGGGGTGACTCAAGATTAACCTACCTGAGCAATAACAGTTCACGGTTAGTACAGTACAGCGAATACAAATTGTAACAAGCAGTAGCGCTGAGAAAAAGGACTAGAACGCGACCACACACACACTTGTAAAAAACACTTATATAAAATCAGGCAACACTAACCAGCTTAGTGTGATTCTGTTTATTTTGTGTAGAAAAACGGTGGTATGCCTCAATATGATAGCAACGAGTAGTCGAGATAGTCTGATTAGCTTCGGTTGCTATGCTAACATCCCCTGTAGAATGCCAGAGAAACTTTCATAACAGCGTTGTGATGTCAAACAGCGTCAATTCAGACTGAAACACATTCACTTAAGGGGATGAGGGATATTTATCAGCTGCTTGTGTGACAGTCGGACATCGAATACTTTACAGCGCCCGCTGCCGTGAGTTGACAGTAGAATAACGAGCAGCACTGCAGCGGGCGGTAATCCCGCTGAACCACGTTAATAAACAATGCACCACGGCACTCTGGAGAAAGGTATAAGGTTGGAGAAGTAGTTATTTAATTTAATCTGGCTTCGTATGATTAAAAACGACCCGACGCAATCCTCTATTGATGTTGTTGTGAGTGGTGTTGCGGAGAAAATCAGCGACGTAAAACTCCGTGTGGGTAATAAGAAGGCACGTAAACGGTTACGCCATGACGCAAACGATGACGCAATAACTCACCTTTGAACCTAATTCACCTTTGAACCTGCATCTGTAACAATGAGTGGACCAAAGAAAAGAAAAGTCGACAATGAGTGCCGAGTGTTTAATGAGGAGTGGACAGCTAAATATTTGTTCACCGATCTGCCAGCCCGTCTGTTACATTTTAAAACTCATAGTGGCCCCCGAGCCAAAAAGTTTGCCCACCCCTGCTTTAGAGGCTGGCTGCTCTCGGGTCTGCGTCTGCAATCCTACTAACAAAAACTAAACCGAGCTAGAAAAATAAGACAGTGTATTCATGTAACACGTAGTACTTTTTAAAAAGGATCACATATTCTACCACTGCACTTTGTGTAAATGTAGGAGACTGCCAAGGCAAGTTTATTTAAATAGCACCTTTCAACACAAGGCAATTCAAAGTGCTTTACAAAAATGAAAGACATTAAGAGCATTAAGAAACATATTATAAAATGGCATTTAAAAACACTAATTTAAAAGCAAAGATCTAAAATGGCATTTAAAAACAAGCTGCAAGGGAGAGGAAAGGAGAGGCACATGTTTCGCCATGTGACCGGCTCATGAAGCCCAATCTTGTGAGGGGAGCCTCTCAGCTGAAACCTCACACGGCCCCCCAACCTGCATGCATCATGACATTCCATCAGCTCCAACTTTCACTATAGGAGTAGTGCCAGGCAAGTTAGATGTTGCTTGTTTGTAATAGTCTGAAGAACTTTTAATTAAACTCTTAAACTCTCAACTCAACTGCCCTTCAACCTGAGAGAGAGCAGAAAAGCGTGTCAAGTTAAACAGTGGCATTAATCAAATCAAGGTTTATTTATAAAGCACATTTAAAAGCGATTTTTGGTCGGGCCAAAGTGCTGTACATGTACACATTAATGCCTTCTAATGCAGCTGTGTTTACACATACTAAGGTTTCTGTGTGAGTGTATGTCCTGACTTTGTTCTTTGTTGATGGTCATGTGGGTACTGAGAGGAACTGGCCAATGTGACTGCACCAATTATGCATTTCTGAATCTTTCATTTGAAAAGAAATGTCCTTTTTTCAGACAGAGGGGAATTGCTTTAAATAAGAAAATACAACTCACCTCATTTACTTTGTTAGCAGGCTCATTGTCCTCTTTCTTTTCATGCTTTTTGTTGCCATTGTTCTCAGGTGCCTTTGTCTGTTCCTGCCCATCAAACAATGGAGGGAGATTGATGGAGATGAAAAGGGACAAAAAAGGGAAAAACGCCACGTGAGGAATAAGCAGAGTGAGCGTGAGAGGTTCTGGTCAATATTCAGAACAACAAGCCACAAGGTTGTGATGCTCTTTAATTTAGTAATTGAGTTAATGAAGAGCCGAGTGGAATGACACAACTACAAATCAAATACTTAAATCCCAAATACTGACTGACTCACAGGGAGCCAACATTCCATAACTACATCTCACAGGTTCAAGTCAAACTATAGAAATAAAACCAATGCACAGTTCCAGTCAACACAGAATGTAGCTTCAGATTGTGCGACACAATCAGTCTTTGCTTATGCAGCTGACACTTAGCAGGCACGTCTATATCAAACTTCACACAAGCTTTATTTTTTTTAAGTTTGACAAGACAATAATGGCAGACATGAGTCAAGTTACTCTAAGGCAGCCAATAAAAGAGAATTTATATTGAGCCGACAGGGGCGTACAACAACGTCCTGTAGGCAGCAGAGTAGAACAGCATTACAGAATTACTGTGGTGTTTAACATTTACTGATGCTTTTGATATCAGTCGCAGGGACTGATCTCTTTCTGTTCATCAGCTTCTGCAACCTCCCTAGTGCTGAATGAGTAGGTGGCACTCACCGGGGGAATTAGCCTGACTTCGAATGAATCCTCCAGCTTAGCATCTCTGCGAGAAGGCGGTGCGCTCTCTGTGATAGCTGCAGCAGCGACGGCCGCCGCTGTGCACGAGGACGAGTGCCGCGTGGTCCGTGCTGGGGATCGAGAGCGACTGCGTCGACGGCCCCTGGTGATCGAGAACGAGAGCGGGAGCGAGGGCGCGACTGGAAACCAGCTGCACTCTGAGGGGAGACAGCAGTTAGACAAAAGAGGAGATTACTACATTGTGAACAATTTTACCTTGTTTTGTATTGGACAAGATATTTAAAAGAAGTCTGCCTTATCTTTTCTATAACGTATAGAAAATACATATTGAAGGCTTCTCAATTATCTAATTTCCCCTCCTCGGTCCTCCGGTAGTGACCCGGAAATGGATTTCAGCGCGCCATGTTGAAGGACATCTCATTTCTCTAAATGCACATCGAGGACCGAGCATCGAGCGTCGAGGAGGCTCTCTGGAGGAGCTATAACCGAGGATACACGGTTATAGTATCCGTACTATAACCCACGGAGGATGGATATTATGTTATTAACTGCTTTCATCCCGACGCGATGTTTACAGTGAGAACAGCTGTGAGGTCCGTGCAGAAAGCAGAGCAGTGTGGTATAATATATATCTCTCAGTATAACAGGGCCTACATTACTCGTCTGTATTTGTATGCTGTAGTTTAGTAGATATCTACAAACAAAGAGTCCATATTTTTCTAAGACCATTAGTGCTTCACATAATAAATACACAACGGCTGTATCCTGATATATAGCTATTATATGCTTTAGGAGCTGTAGGGTGTGTGGTACAGTGTGTAGGTGTGTGTGGTACAGTGTGTAGGTGTGTGTGTGTGTAGGTGTGTGTGTGTGGTAGGGTTTAGGTGTGTGTGGTGTGTAGGTGTGTGTGTGGTAGTGTGTAGGTGTGTGTTACAGTGTGTAGGTGTGTGTGTGGTACAGTGTGTAGGTGTGTGGTACAGTGTGTAGGTGTGTGTGGTACAGTGTGTAGGTGCGTGTTGTACAGTGCGTAGGTGTGTGTGGTACAGTGTGTAGGTGTGTGTTGTACAGTGCGTAGGTGTGTGTGTGTGGTACAGTGTGTGGGTGGTGTGTGTGGTACAGTGTGTAGGTGTGTGTGTTGGTACAGTGTGTAGGTGTGTGTGGTACAGTGTGTAGGTGTGTGTGTGGTACAGTGTGTAGGTGTGTGTGTGGTACAGTGTGTAGGTGTGTGTGGTACAGTGTGTAGGTGTGTGTGGTACAGTGTGTAGGTGTGTGTGTGGTACAGTGTGTAGGTGTGTGTGTGGTACAGTGTAAGTGTGTGTGGTACAGTGCGTAGGTGTGTGTGTGGTAGTGTGTAGGTGTGTGTGTGTACAGTGTGTAGGTGCGTGTTGTACAGTGCGTAGGTGTGGTGTGTGGTTACAGTGTGTAGGTGTGTGTGGTACAGTGTGTAGGGTGTGTGGTACAGTGTGTAGGTGTGTGTGTGGTACAGTGTGTAGGTGTGTGTGTGGTAGTTGTAGGTGTGTGTGTGGTACAGTGTGTAGGTGTGTGTGGTACAGTGTGTAGGTGTGTGTGGTACAGTGTGTAGGTGTGTGTGGTACAGTGCGTAGGTGTGTGTGTGGTACAGTGTGTAGGTGTGTGTGTGGTACAGTGTGTAGGTGCGTGTGTGGTACAGTGCGTAGGTGTGTGTGGTACAGTGCGTAGGTGTGTGTGGGTACAGTGCGTAGGTGTGTGTGTGGTACAGTGCGTAGGTGTGTGGTGTGGTACAGTGTGTAGGTGTTGTAGGGTTGGTGTGTGTGTGCACAGTGTGTAGGTGTGTGTGTGTGGTACAGTGTGTGTAGGTGTGTGTTGTACAGTGTGTAGGTGTGTGTTTTACAGTGCGTAGGTGTGTGTGGTACAGTGTGTAGGTGTGTGTGTGGTACAGTGTGTAGGTGTGTGTGTGGTACAGTGTGTAGGTGTGTGTGGTACAGTGTGTAGGTGTGTGTTGTACAGTGCGTAGGTGTGTGTGGTACAGTGTGTAGGTGTGTGTGGTACAGTGTGTAGGTGTGTGTGTGGTACAGTGTGTAGGTGTGTGTGTGGTACAGTGTAGGTGTGTGTTGTACAGTGCGTAGGTGTGTGTGGTACAGTGTGTAGGTGTGTGTGTGGTACAGTGTGTAGGTGTGTGTGTGGTACAGTGTGTAGGTGTGGTTTGTACAGTGTGTAGGTGTGTGTGGTACAGTGTGTAGGTGTGTGGTACAGTGTGTAGGTGTGTGTGGTACAGTGTGTAGGTGCGTGTTGTACAGTGCGTAGGTGTGTGTGGTACAGTGTGTAGGTGTGTGTTGTACAGTGCGTAGGTGTGTGTGGTACAGTGTGTAGTGTGTGTGGTACAGTGTGTAGGTGTGGTGTGGTACAGTGTGTAGGTGTGTGTTGTACAGTGTGTAGGTGTGTGTGTGTACAGTGTGTAGGTATGTGTGGTGGTGTGTGTTGTACAGTGTGTAGGTGTGTGTGTGGTACAGTGTGTAGGTGTGTGTGGTACAGTGTGTAGGTGTGTGTGTGGTACAGTGTGTAGGTGTGTGTGTGGTACAGTGTAAGTGTGTGTGTGGTACAGTGCGTAGGTGTGTGTGTGGTAGTGTGTAGGTGTGTGTGTGTACAGTGTGTAGGTGCGTGTTGTACAGTGCGTAGGTGTGTGTGTGGTACAGTGTGTAGGTGTGTGGTACAGTGTGTAGGTGTGTGTGGTACAGTGTGTAGGTGTGTGTGTGGTACAGTGTGTAGGTGTGGTGTGTGGTAGTGTGTAGGTGTGTGTGTGGTACAGTGTGTAGGTGTGTGTGGTACAGTGTGTAGGTGTGTGTGGTACAGTGTGTAGGTGTGTGTGGTACAGTGTGTAGGTGTGTGTGGTACAGTGCTGTAGGTGTGTGTGGTACAGTGTGTAGGTGGTACAGTGTGGTGTGTGGTACAGTGTGTAGGTGCGTGTTGTACAGTGCGTAGGTGTGTGTGTGGTACAGTGTGTAGGTGTGTGGTACAGTGCGTAGGTGTGTGTGTGGTACAGTGTGTAGGTGTGTGGTACAGTGTGTAGGTGTGTGTGTGGCACAGTGTGTAGGTGTGTGTGTGTGGTACAGTGTGTAGGTGTGTGTGTGGTACAGTGTGTAGGTGTGTGTTGTACAGTGTGTAGGTGTGTGTTGTACAGTGCGTAGGTGTGTGTTGTACAGTGCGTAGGTGTGTGTGTGGTACAGTGTGTAGTGTGTGTGTGGTACAGTGTGTAGGTGTGTGTGTGGTACAGTGTGTAGGTGTGTGTGTGGTACAGTGCGTAGGTGTGTGTGGTACAGTGTGTAGGTGTGTGTGTGGTACAGTGTGTAGGTGTGTGTGTGTACAGTGTGTAGGTGTGTGTTGTACAGTGTGGAGGTATGTGTGGTGGTGTGTGTTGTACAGTGTGTAGGTGTGTGTGGTACAGTGTGTAGGTGTGTGTGGTACAGTGTGTAGGTGCGTGGTTGTACAGTGCGTAGGTGTGTGTGGTACAGTGTGTAGGTGTGTGTGTGGTACAGTGTGTAGGTGTGTGTTGTACAGTGCGTAGATGCGGCGGACAGACAGGTCTTAGTTGCTTTGGTGTCCTATGCTTACTTTTAAATAAAACGTTTGGCCCGTAATTTCAATTCCCCATTTCAGCGACCAGAGAGGGGGGGCTAATTGTGTTACGTTTGTTGTTTGATTCTGAAATTGTATATATTTATATAAATATATGTGTGTGTATATGTCCGCATCTGTAGCCTGTTATTGTCTCATTATACCGCACTGTCAATGAATTCAAAGTAAATATATAAGTCATCATGAACACATCTGTCCATCAGACAGAGGGCTGCTGTGCCTCCTGTCATCATTAATGGACGTCTCTTTAAAATGACCGCTCAGAGGAGAGGAGTTCTCATTTCTCTAAACGCCTGCTGCTTCCCCTCCTCTCTCCTCGGTTCCCCTCCTTGACTCCTCCGCTCGCATCTCCTGTGGGCGGGACTAAGTCACGAGGAGGGGAGTCGAGGAGGGGAAATTAGAGAATTGAGAAGCCTTCATAGACTACACAGTAAGGTCAGGAAGAGATTTTGGCAAAGATAACAGGAGGCATTACAATAGCATTCCTCCAAATCATTAAATAGTTTAGGCAATAAGGACAAATATTCATTATAGTAGTCAGTCAGCACTCGGAAGTTTTCTAGCGTTGTTTCTACATTTAAGCTGTATCCTGCCTTGGAAATGACAGGAAAACAATACTTTTTCATTATTTTAAAAGCGTAATATATAATTTATCTGCCCGAGTAGAAATGTTCCGAGTTACATTCGTTGTGAAGGCTAGTAGCAGTACACTCGGGCTTAACTGTTTGTTATGGGAGTCATGGTTTTTAGGGCTGCTTAAAGATATTCCTAGTTAACCATTAGTCGTCACTTTAGGTTATAAGTCGAGTTGGTGCACATTTATGATATATTATTATTTTCTTTGGCTTCACAAAATTCAATTCCAGGGCTGAGAAAAAGCGTTATCGTTATCACACAGCATGGACGAAGAGACAATTCAAACTGCACCTGTAACGATTCCTAACGTGTGTCGGAACAAGCAGCAAGGAAACACATTAAACATTTAATTTATTATAGCATGAGTTACATCATCGTACACACAGCCTTTGAACGTGTGTCTTCATTTGTAACATAAATAAACATTTTCAAGTATTTTTCAAATTTAAATAAATAGAACAAGCAAATAAATAATACAGAGCAAAGGGAAACTCTCAAAATTGCCTAAGCACATAAAGCTTCATCATCGAATGAAACTTAATACAATTAGGAATGCACCGTTGCATGGCTCAGATATCGGCATCAGCTGATGAACGTTCTATTTACTTGGTACACTTCTCAACAAATATGGTGATTATACCACACCTTTATGAAGACTTGTCAATGAGAGTTTCAGAATATAAATGATCTGATGATCTGTAGAGTCAAGACTTTATATTCTAACAATTGAATAGCAGTTGATGCTAAAAAACAGAAGAAACCAAATTGTGACGTTATAATTAAGGGCAACTTGAATTGTGTATTGCAGAATGGCGACAGCCCTATTATTGGTTAACACTGTATATGATAAAGCTTTAATTACCTCTTTACGTTTGCCTTACAATATTTGATAAGGGGTTATCTCCCTAAGGTTGCGACCTGTGTCACCTAGTATTGTATATCAAAGCCGATAATAACAAAGACACTTACACAAAGTAATGTTTCATGAAAGTGTGAAAAGACAGTTTGTAAGTTATTTTGTGACAGGTACCTTTATGTCTTGCTCCTTGAGTTCCAGCTCAGTGCCGTCCTTGTAGATGACCGTGTAAAGCTGGCTTTTGGCATCAAAGTGAAGCACCTTCACCTCATAATACAGGCTGCTGCCAGGCCAGCGGCCCATCACCATGTCCCCTCTCTGATACTTCACAGTAGGCATCTTTGTTGACCTAAGAAAGAGTGAGAGACACAAGGACAGGTAGATTATAAAGCAGACGATATCGTGAAAAGGGGAGAGAATTAGAAGGGTAAAGATTAGGACAGCAAAAATACAAAGGCAAAGACATAAGAGCAGAGCGGCAGGAGATAGGAATATAAAAGAATGTAGGCTGGATTTTTGATTTTTTTTTTTTATAGTGAAAATAAAAGCTAGAGAAAAATCCTACATTAGGAATCATATACATTAAAATATGTATTTAGAACTCTGTCAAAGCAGAGCTAACCTAATTTGCAAGGCATTGTCATTATGTTCCCACACAGTGCACTGAAGCGCATTATGAATCTGTTTTTATAAGATAAAAAGGATCTGGACATTCACCAGTGGGGTTTTTAACTGACGTTTTTTTATGTCGAAGAAGAAAACATCAACATTTCTTCAGCTGGTGTCAACCACAGACCTTTCAGGCATCTAACCAAAAAAGACTTGCTCTGAGAAATACGGATAAAATGTTCTTCTCACATTCTGATTCAACTCTGTTTGCTTATCTGTCAATCAGAAAACACACATTGCTATCATCATATTTATTAACAGTATTAGAATTAATAAATAAATCATTAAAAAGGTATCAAAAACCCCATCATTGTTATGTTTATCTTCAAGTTTAAAATGTGTCTGTGTCTTATTTTAAAAACATCCAAACATACTTGCTAACATGACTGTATGTGCACCACTGGACACAATGAGGTGGCCAAGGCCAGCTCAGCATTATGGACCTTAGAGATCAGGGAGGCTCAGTGTGTAGAACTGCTGACAGCTCTGTCCCTGTAGGGTCCCCCAGCTGTCTGTCCGACTCCCACTCCCTCAACTGTAGCTGCAACTGTTAAGTTTGTCAAATCTAGCAGCCACTTTAACGAAACCAAAATATTTAAAATGGTTATAACAGCTGCTCAGTGTTACTATGAGACAAACATTAAGTTTATTCGACAAATATTATTATTTTCAATGCTCCAGAAACCAACACCTGAATAATATCTAGGGATGCCCCTTTGCATTGGCAGGACATCGGCCAATGTTCGCCCTACTTACTGCCGTCAGCACATCGGTAAAAAAGGTGACATTCGCTAATGGTTATACATTTTGCTGGGCTGTGTGTGACTTGGCACTGTAGAAGAGGACTTGTCATTATTTCAATAATGACGGCATAATCTACAGTCTGAGTGATCTGCAGAATCTTTAATGTCATTGGCGGTGCAGTAAATCCCTTTTCCAAGTGACTTTGCCACCGCCAGAGCCTAGGGGGGCATTACAATGTGTTAGAAATGTTTGATTATTTGCACTTCTTAACAACAAGTGTAGCTCACTGAATGAGAGCTTCAGCAGAGCAGGTGAAGCTCTCTGCTGCTGACAGCTTAGCCACCGACCTTAAATGACTCCTGACAGCAGTCTAAGTTCCATTGGTTAACACTGCGCTCTGCTTCAGTGAATGGCAGGCAGCGTTCACAAACTGCTTACCATTAGTTGCTATTGCGATTGTCACCATAAAGTGTCCATCTGAGAAAAAAAAACTCAAACCGGCAAAGACACATTCATGTTAAAAACTACAATAAGTATACTGAACCAAGCTGTTTCACTGTCAAATCCATGCATAGCAAATCAATGTGTACTCCTTCTAAAACACAAAATAACTGGATCATCAGGATTACAAAAAGGGCAAGGAGAGTCAAACATAGTCAACCCCTATTCCACTGCACTGGTCGAATCTCAAAAAGCCACAACATCCAAATGGAAAGCATGTTAAAATGACACACCCGAGCTCAGTCCCCGCGCTGCTGTGCCGGCCGGCCTGTCCGCAGAGCCCCATCTCCGGCTGGGCTGGTGACAGGATAAGGGCTGCACCATAGGTGGAGTTTTAAATACAAGTCCCCCTTTGTGCGGAAAACTGCTGTTTAGCTCCACATGGTATGCAGAACAGCCCCTCTGAAATGTAGCATGTGAATCCAGTGGTAAACGCCCTCCAGTCGATAGCAAATGACTCTCAAACTTTAACTTTACTTATATACTCCGTTTGTTAATGTGTCAGCTAAGATCAAACGATAGGTGAGCTAACCCCGTAGTAGTAATCAAACAACAGTAACAAAGTGCTTTCCAATAAAAGCAGAATGCATTTAAAATAACGAACTAAAACTGAAATAAAACAGTAAAACCAAACATTTGGGTCACAATACAATCTAAAATAAACCTTAAGTAACACTTACCATCACATTTAAACTAACATTATTCCTTAAAATAAAACAAAACCTAACACTCTTCATTCTGGCTGCAGTTTTCACTGCGCTACCGTTTGTGATTTGGCAAAGTTAAGGTAATATCGACGAATTTAGAGCACTTTTCTAAATTATTTTGTGAACTTCCCCTCGCTGTTTTACAACACGCTCCACAATGTAAATATATCCTAACATACAAAGTCTTCCTGTAAAGCAGGCAGTTATATTCTTCCATTGTAATGTTTCTGAGCTGTTGCTTTAAGCTTTGTTAGCATGCAGACAGCAGGAAGGAAGGAGGGAAAACGTCATGCATTCAAATCCTGTTGGCCAGCAAAACAGACGGTCCTTCAGCCGCAAGCACATGAGTGAATAAGTCTTGCTGGACACAGGGACGTATCCCAGAACATAAACATTTCACATCATCTAACGTTAGGTGCACACAAATCTAAACCGCTCCTAGGCTGATATCAGTCTTTGACCAAGCAGGCACGGTCTACTTTCTGACCATTTAATTGCGTGTCCTTCATCTGCTTACATTCTAGTTCACTTCACAGTGATCTAACCTTTCTAAAACTATTAACCATAAGCGGGTTAACAGTTACTTTATTATCTTACTTGGACCTGAAGAGCAAGTTATGGTTTCAGGAAGTAGTCGGAGCCTAAAACACAATTTCCCAACAAAGGCAATCGACAGCTTTTTGCGATATTGCATCACAAACTCATGCGCTGGACTTACCTTATTATACCGCGGGTAGCTCCAGTAATTACACCTGATGAATATTCCCTTGTAAGACAAATAATTGATAAATGTAGCTATATATTTTAAAAAAACAGACTGTCCTAACGTTTGACGTAGTGCTCGTTCTCCCTCCCTCTCTGAGCAAAAACTACCAGTGACCAGGAAGGCGCGAAGTCTTCTGATTGGCTTGTTCAGCATTCAATTCAAACAACTCTGCATTGTGATTGGTTCTGCTCAGCTCGGGTTCTGACTGATTTGGGATTGGTTTTAAGGGCGTCACGGCTACTGTGTTTAATGGTGTCATATTACCATCAGACATAATGGTGGATATCGTAAAATAATATATATATATATATATATATATATATATTAATATAGCCTATTATAGACTATATTAATATATATATATATATATATTATTTTATGAAAAAAAAATATATATATATATATATTAATATATATATAAAAAATATATATATATAAAAAAGATTATTTTAATATTTATTTATATATTAATATATACATAAAACATATTTAGAAAAAACTCTTTTGCACAATTATTTTGCATTGTAAATAATTACGCATACATATCTGCATTCTCGTACTCTGAGGAGTAATAAAGCAAAAAGACAACATTTACTTCAGGCAAACAGGCCAAACAACACTGCTGCATGTTTTGCGTAATTTGAGAGTCAGTAGAGTCAGGAGGAATTCTTTTTAGTTGCCTTTATTAAAGTGCACTGCCTGCTGCACAGCGGGATCAATGTTCGTTTTTACATTTCCTATTAAAAGTTTACCAACATGTCCAAATTGCATATCTTGACACTAAACCAATGTTCTTGTTTGTTACATTTGTTTGTGCGAGCTATTATTCAGAACATTTATGGCGCATTTCCACTACACGGCCTCGCTCGGCCTCGCTCGGTATGGCTAGGCCTCGTTAGGACTGGCTCACTTTATGGCGCATTTCCATTACAGTTTAGGAACTGGGGTAGTATCTATAGTAACGCAGTGTAGGCGGAGCCGTGACGTCATCTTCAATGAGAACCCCAGAAAAACAACACAGCCGTTAGCTGTTAGCACTCAGAGCTCACAGCTCCTCATATCTGTTCAGAATGGAGGAAGAGGACATCTCCTCCTCTGCCCCTGTGCATTCTAGGAGAGGATGTGGCAGTTGTGGAGGTCTACAAGTACCTGGGAGTGCACTTAGACAATGGGCTGAACTGGAGGATCAACACTGACGCTGTGTACAAGAAGGGGATGAGCCGACTCTATTTTCGGATGCAGCAAGATGCTGGAGATCTTCTATCAGTCTGTTGTGGCTAGTGCACTCTTCTCTTCTTCTTCTTTGTCTGCTGGGGGGGCAGCATAAGAGACGGTGACATCTGCAGGATCAATAAACTGATCAGGAAAGCTGGGTCAGTCATCGGCATCAAGCTGGACCCCTTTGAAGTTGTGGTGGAGAGGAGGACACTGAACAGGCTGTTGTCCATCATGGATAACCCCCCCCCCCCCCCCCCCTCCTCTCCACCTGCAGCTGGACAGTCAACAGAGCTCCTTCTCCAACAGACTGCTGCAGCTCCCCTGTCACAAGGACAGATACTGGAAAACATTCCTGCCCACTGCAATAACACTGTACAACAAATCACCTCTGGCTGGAAGAGAACTCTCTGCTCCATAGTTTCTCTTGAAATAAAACCACGTTGTACATTTTACTCATACATAATCTGTTCAATATTTATACTCCATATTCCATATATTTTGAATATATATATATATATTGTATATATATATATATAATATCTGCATGTATATTTTCTATTTCGACATGTATATTTTATTTTATTTTTCTTTCTATTCTTGTATATTTTGTAGTTTTGTTTTATTGTAAAATGCCTTTTATGCTGCTGTAACAACAACAATTTCCCAATTTGGGATCAATAAAGTACTATCTATCTATCTATCTATCTAAACTAGACAAAAGTTAAACAAGTACACACCACAGACTGTCTGTGTCATGGTGAATACAGTCGCTGGTTTATTTATGTCTGTATAGGCCGTTGTGGACGGTCGGAGCATATATTGCGTTAGCTTAGCCAATCTCCTTTTAGAAAACACGCATTTTAAAAGGTTTTTCGCCTGCCGTCTGTCTGCAGACTTGTCAAAGCATTAATTCATGGTTTTTACTAACCGGTATCAGTATGTTGTTACTTCGGCATCATTTTGAAACGTTTATTACAATTAAATCACGGTCAAATATGTTCATCTTGTTGTAGTTGTAGCCCCCTTGCCAGCGATTCTCTCTCTAGTTTAGCATACTCAGCCCGACTCAGCCTGGTTGTTGGCCCGCTAAGAACCTCGATTTTATGGGGCCAGAAAAACTGTGAATTAGGACCCGCTAGCCGGTACTAGGCCAAGTGGAAACGCAACCAAAGACGGGCCGCTGACGTCACAGCTCTCTTAAACGGGGCTCCGTGCTGTAGTGGAAACGCGCCATTATAAGTTATACTTTTAAAAAGTGGTGGGGACAAAATTGGCAATTTCAAAAAGTAGAGGGGACATGTCCCCAGCGCAAATGACGCGTATATATTACTCATGTAGTTTGAGGACAGCTGTATGCCGTGGAGACCTTACTGTGTACCAGTGATGTCACAATTGTTTTCCTCCACCATTCAGATACCTAAGATCAGCGCAATATAGATATAATCTATCTATATGGCGCTGGCTAAGATAAGATAACTTTAACAAGATGCCTGTGTGCTTAGTACCAGGTTGTTATTATACCAGCAATGGGTCTTGCTCGTTCTTTTGCTTCCCGTCTGATGAAAGGACCAGGAGTGGCTTGATCAAGTTAGCTACCTAGCTAGTAGCTAGCACGTTAGTTAGCATTACAGCCTTGTCATTTTTATTAGCCTTAACATGAAGTAACATTAAGTAACCCAAAATGTTAAACAGTAAGAGTAGTAGTCATATTTCGTGAACCCTTTGAATAGTACTGTCACCGGTGTGATCATTCTATAATACACCATTTAAGCCCGGGGGAGAAATGCTAACGCTAACGTTAGCATCGGCGATCTTCTCTACTTCATGCTATCTGCACAAATGGTTGACATTAAACATTAAAACGACCAGGCAGTTCAGAGAGAATCAAAGGAAGGCAGGCAGGCAGCTTTGCATGACATTCTTCAGGACGTGTTTCATTGTGCTGATAGTGAGGATAGTCAATCTTTTTGTTGACAAGACAGTAGTGACGGCCATCTTGGTGACGTGTGTTGTTGACCAGAGATGTAGTTCATTGAGCGTTTCACACAAACAAATGTGTTACTTCACAGTTTTACGACACATTTTTTTTTTTTTGACTTGCAAAATTATCTTTTAAATTGACAAACATCATATGTGTAATTCGTGGCACAATTCAAACGGGATCGAAAGATAATCTTTCTCTCTCCATTGACTTCAATACATAATTTTTCCGAAATAAGGTTCCATGGAGGTCCACCGGAAGGGGAGGGACTTCGCCACTCTATAGAGTGGCGAAGTCACGCCCACTTACTTCCGGGTAATGGGACCTTATTTCGGAAAAATTATGCATTGAAGTCAATGGGGAGAGAAAACTTATCTTTCGATCCCGTTTGAATTGTGCCATGAATTACACATATGATGTTTGTCAATCTTAAAAAATCATTTCCATGTCAAAAAAGTCACAGTTTGTCGTAAAACTGTTGAAATATAAGACTATGAAAAATACGCAACTAGAAAGACTACAAATCCCAGAGTCGCGTAAGTGATGTCACAATTGAGACACTACGATATACGTATAATACCGTATATATACGATCAGCGCCATATAGATAGAATCTATCTATATGGCGCTGGCTAAGATAAGATAACTTTCACAAGATGCCTGTGTGCTTAGTACCAGGTTGTTATTATACCAGCAATGGGTCTTGCTCG